CGGATTATTGCATATGTTGATGGGCACCTCAACTGATGTGACTGACCATTCTCGTTCTTCTCAATTTTAATATGACAAATTCCCAGAAAGTTTTTAACATGGAGCATTGATTGTTTTGTATAGCTTCACTACTGGTTTGAATATCTATTGGAATTGTTCGCAGAAACGTGTCAGATATATTCATTTCTACAAATTTTGTTCTTCGGAATCGTGAATTTCACTTTCTCAACGATGACTTCGATGAACCGAAGAGGGTAGCCAGATTCCGAGGTCAGAATTCAATTGTTACGAACGAACATCTCGTGGGAAACAGATGTGAAATTATTGGACATTGCTTAAAAGAACGACATGCTCTTCGCGATGCATTCACACAGCAAAAAATCGGTTTGAAAACAAGATTGATGAATGATTCAAAAACTGATAAAAGCCTACCTCAGATGTATAGGCACTGACCAACAACAAACAACTCAGCAAAAAAATATTCGATAGACAACACTGCAGCAGTGGATATGCGATCACGGATAAAGCGTTCGACATGAGATGTAATAAGGGTTTGTTTGTGTTCTGAAGTGTTGCTCGATGATAATGAAACGTTATGTGCGCAGGATAATCAACAGACATTCCAATCGATAGAATTATTGTCGTCGTTGAAATTGGATCCAATTGAATATTCCATATTGTTAAAAATCCAACTACTCCTGAAAGTTTACTCCATGATCACCCTAAACATACAAATGACCATTTTCGCATCTTAATCTCGCCTTTCATCACCACCTCTTTTAAAAAAACTGCACTGGACATTTGCTCATGAATTTTGGTTATTAACAGCGCAATGCACTTGTTTTGCGCTTTCCATTCGTATTGGCATTATGGGAACATTTTAAAACTCACTGGAATACACCGAACTTTTAATGGCGACGATATTTGGTGTATAATCATTTTTTATCAAGGAGGAATCACAACTGGAATGATCTAAAATCTGAATTGTTCCAAAACGCTGATAAACTCTAACCGTGACCATCAATTCTAATTGCACTTTTTCTAGTTAAAGCCATATTCGTGGTGAACATCAAGGCAAGAACTTATTTCATCATTATTTGAGTCCTTCGAAAAGAATCCGTTCTGACAGAGTTTGACGGACATTTTTCAACTTTTTTAATACTTTCCGTTTGCCCTACTCCAATTTCAAAGATTCATTTTAATTCTATTTTACACCTTTCCTTCCATTAATCTTAAAATTCAAACTATCGAAGATCAGGCATAAAGAATACCAGTGAAAAATGATAAGTTGAATTGTGTGATAATTCTACATTCTTCAATCAGAGTGCAGCACTTAATTTGAAAGAATCACGAGCCATGTGCAAAAACTTTGATGATTAATTATTTTGGTCTTAAGGAAACATTCTGCAAAAAGCGCTATAGTGCAGTCAGTTTCCTTTTGTGCAAACAAGAAAATAAATAGCGGTTACGACGAATGGATGGAACGATGACAAGATTCCGTACACATGCTCTTCAAAGAACACTCGCCAAATTCCAGTTGTGATTTTCGATTTGTTTATTCTATTCTGAATGAATTTTGAAAATAATCAAAAATGGAATTTACCGATAAAAATAGAGAAAACCGATAAGGAAGCAGCAGCGACTGCAGAGATACTTGGCATAAATATATAGCATACGATCATCATACTGAGAAACGTATAAACGGAGGATTTAATAGCTCGTGACAGGAGCGTTTCTATTTGATCCGTGAATTGCGCGAAATCATCAAATACCGATGCGGACAGATCCTGAATTATTTCATCAATCATTCATCAGTCAAAAAAATTCTTTGGTGCATTTATTTGTGCCCATCAAGCAAGTGATTTTCGACTTAAAATGAACAAATCGTCCCAATGGTCTTAACAAATGAGCATTTTGATCTAAAATTCTTGTAGCCTCAAGATAAATTTAAAATGGAGTATAGAAATTCCTGGTAATAGAAGAGTAGTTTCACTCTATTAGAGTGTGATGATCACTGTATTCTTTGCAAAGTGATTCCCCTGACCAGAACCTCAAAGTATTCTGAAGCATTTTCCTCTACGATACAACTGTGACGAATCAGAGACGTAAATAAGAAAGCAGCGATACCGTATAATTATCGACAATATTGCGCCATCGTTTCAGCAGCGATAACTTCTCTGAGTACGACGATAGATTTTGACCGTGATACGTCGTCATTATTGAGAAACTGCTTATTCTGAAACAACTTGATCATCATAATGTGTGATTTAGCAATGCGATTTCATTATCAAATATTCATGAAAGCATTCGAAACATTGTAAAAACACTGCTTGCTTTGTAAGTAGCTATCTGAGGAACCGGTTATGTTTAAAGTGTTTCAAATAATGTTCGTAGAATCTTCCTATATTAACATCCTTCTAGGCGAACGTACGGTATACAAAGAAGTCTGGTATGATGAAAACTGGAGTTCATGGTAAAAAAAGGCGATTTGTTTCGATGAAGATCACAATTTTGGAGCAGAGCTTTTCATCATTGTCTAATTGATTCCCGGCTGCACTGAATTCTCTAATACATTAATCTTTTATTTACTATTCTTGTAGATGTCTTTCAAGGTCATTTATTCTTAATATCATTCAGTTACGAATAGTCCTGGGTTTGTTCTTTTGTGAATTAGATCAATTTAAGCCTATTTGTTCATTGCCTAGCTGAGCCATAGTACAGTAATTTCCAGCTGATCGCTTCACGATTCATCTCTCGATAAAATTTCCCCTCCCCCATCCCCACTAATCGCCCCCCCCCCCTCCCATCAACGCACTCCACTCACGAAAGCTGGTCGCTTCACTATTCATCTCTCGATAAAATTTCCCCTCCCCCATCCCCACTACTCGCCCCCCCCCCCTCACCGCACTCCACTCACGAATTGAATAGAGCTATACTTAATCAGAAGCATTGTTAAGTTATTAATAGCGTTTGGCAGTTCATATGAAAAGTTTGTGAGAACTGGTTTCGTAATGAAATAATTAATGGAAGAATGTTCATGGAATGGTTGGGTTCTTAAACAAGTTCACTCCAAAGATTTGTGGTTTGCGCAACGTCATAATCAATGATCACACGGTACAAGAGTACTCTTCAATATGTAGTTCTCGAATATCAAACAAGACATATGACAACAGATGATATTGTCGTAGTGATGTTCTCAAGAACAGATTACCATTATTAATGATTGCCAGCATTCCACTATCCCAATTCTAACAAAATNTTTTTTAGAATTCGATCAACGTTCGGGCAATAGTTTTGTTTATCAAATGGTAAATCATAAATCTCCCGAAATTTATGTGCGTCGCACTGCCGATCTGATATCAAGTGAAAACTCATCAACAGTGTCTGCGTGGAATACAAATTAAAAATAACCGCTTGTTCGCTGAATCAATATTCATAAAACCCCTCCAGTAGCTATATTCCGGCCACTCGAGGAATCGCTGGATTGACTCGAAAGAGTATTTATCATCAACGCTATCAGTTTCGTTCGCATCAGTTTCATCGACTTCATTCGCTTCATCCATCATCATAAATGACTCATAATCTCGCATCCAAAATAACGTGAATCTTGACTGTCGACTTTCTGGTAAACTTTCGAATTGTTTCACCATCGAATGGATACGATCTCGCGTTGACGCATTCCGCAAATCACCGGTATCACCGATGAGCACCGTAACGAATGTGTTCTCATTTCTGATATAGCGATCGCGAAGATTCATTACCTAAATGGGTAACTTGGAGTCATATCGAAATCCTTGAGCGAGAATTATTGACAATAAGGTTTGAGACATTCAACACTGATCAGCCAGACTGAGATGAGAATCGAAAAAAAGAGCAATGCATTTATCAGATTGTTAGAATGAATAGAACTTTGATCGACAATCAGATTAATTAATTAAACTGATGAAATTCTGTCATTCATCGGCAATTTTGATTTGCGGACAAAATTAAGGATGCCTTCTGCTGAATCCAATGAAGGATTATAAATAACGATCGGCGAATGTAAGATGATCGCATAAATTCACCGATTGAAAGGCGAATTTCATGAAAGAATTGCTCCGTGAAAATGATCACCTCAATGAGTGGCGAATCTTGTACTGTTGTGAATGGATTTGAAAGCCACATGCAGTAGCTCGTCCAAAAGTTTGACCACTGAAAATTTTCATCTCATGACATATATGATCATCTCAATTTTATTCTTTTCATCGCATCATTTTGCTTCGCTTACATGCACTAACGGTAAGCAGACTTTTGGAATGAATCAATTGTACCACCGAAACTACATCATTTCCATATCATCGAAAAGAAACAAGAAGATTTGGCAATATTGAATTAGAAGTACACAAATCTTATTGTAGGTAAATGCGGAAGCACGGAAAAGAAATGCTGGTCGCTTAATTGTTTACTTTTGAAATTAATTCCCTTCTATGATGTCAGGATATTGACACTTTTTGTGCATTTTGTACAAATACTGCTAAATGAAAATTTTTTGAAAGATCCACTGTAATATGGGCCATTTAAGATTGAATGAATACCTTTCCATCGGCACTTTGAACGGATGCAATTGAACGAAAATGTTTAGTGCAGTGATGGTTCGGCGTTTTGTCATTCAACGGAAAATCGAACGTTTTTCCATCTTTGTGCTGTATTTGATGTTGTTGTTGTTGTTGTTGTTGTTGCTGCATCATCTCATAACTGCCACCAATAGTCAAAATTGCAAGATAAACGGTCACTGTATAAAGCAGATCCAAAAACATCGCAATTCCGTTCGCAATACAAAACAATTGGATATCGGGCGGTGCCGAGATCGCTCCGATTGCAAACGCAAAAACATTCGTTAACGAAGTGATCGTTATTGATGGACCCGTATCGATGAGCACCTGAAACTATTTTCAAGCGTCTATCTTCAATTCGAATATGTTGTTTTTTTGTTTTGCAGTCAAAATCTATGGATTTATTCGGATTGATTGATTTTACTTCTTACACTGTTCAATTCTTCTGAATGGATGAGTCAAGTGCATTCAATAATGATACTGAAAAATTCGATCCGTACCTCTGTAACACAATCTTCCACAGTGTAATGCTGATGCGGAAACTTTTTGCTTCGTT